ATTTTATATATATATAAAATAAACGTTTATTTTAGATATATAAACGCAAACTAAACCTACGTTGAGCAACGCTGCACCCACGCGTGAGTCGGCGGTTATAAATACAGCATGAGCAGGCACATAATCCAGCCGTGATTGTGGGGATGGACTCGTGGGAGCAGGGCTGCTTGTCCCCCATGTGAGGCTTGGTGCCTCATTTGTCCTGATCTGTTCTTAATGTGGCTATGAGATGTAAGACCAAAAAAAGGCTGGTTTTCGTGCCCGGCCCTGTTGCTGTTTGGATCTGGTTACTGCCCTGTTCATGACAGCTCAGGTAAACAACAAGGGGCAGAAAGTTTGTCACGTAATGTGCCAGACCAGATGCAGATTACAAACAGCAGGCAGTGCAAGGGAACTGTCCGCAAACAAGCCAAAATAGCTGGCCAATTTTAGCCCAGTTACTCAGCTGATACATACTTGGAACATCTTTGTTTTTTTCCTAGGAATAAGTGGGCTCACAGTTATTTACCAACCAGCAAACAAGAAGTATTAGAGAATGGATCAGCTCAAATCAGCACAATAAATTGCTGGGGGACAGCTAACAGGAGTGTATCAAATATTTCTTTCTTTGTGTGCCTCATCCAGAGAAGCAGATAGCCTTTGCCAGTTCATGTGCATCAGGTTTGTACAGGAAGCATCATCAACTTGTTTCTGTCTGTCCTGGGACATGTGAACATTTCCCCATGGTTGCAGGTAGTGTCAGAGGATCTCAGAAGTGTGAGTCAGAAGGAAAGAATTATTTTTCTGCAGTACCATAGCAAACAGCCTAGAATGAAAGAATACCAGCGTTTAGGCCTGGGGAAAATTCTGATTTATTGGCATTGTGACTTTCCGTAATAGCTCCTTGCTTCCTAACTGCCTGCAGCATAGCAGTTGCTGAAGTGTGTTTGTCTGTAGTGATTAGATCATAGAATCATAGAATGGTTAGAGTTGGAAAGGAACTTAAGATCATCTAGTTCCAACCCCCCTGCCATGGACAGGGGCACCTCCCGCTAAACCACTAAACCATGTCACCCAAGGCTCTGTCCAACCTGGCCTTGAACACTGCCAGGGATGGAGCATTCAGAACCTCCCTGAGCAACCCATTCCAGTGCCTCACCACCCTTACAGCAAAGAATTTCTTCCTTATATCCCATCTAAACTTCCCCTGTTTAAGCTTTAACCCATTACCCCTTGTCCTATCACTATGAATGAAGCCCCTTCCTCGAGGATAAAAGAGGGATTTTTCTAGCCTGTTTCAGCCTGGCCACCAACACATTCTGGCAGTTTTAACTGACTGATCTCAAACTCCTGTTGTGCTGTGCATTGCTGTCTCCATCTCCAGGACTATACATAAGTGTGCTGAGCTAGCATCTAGTTTGAATTTCTGTTGACAAACCAGAGAGGAGCTTTGGGGTTCTTCCCTGGTCTGATGCAAAGACATGGCCTGTGAGTCTATTGTGAGGTGACTTCGCCTCCCCCAACAAATCCCACGTGAGGATTGCAAATCTTCTTACTGAACTCTTGCTGCCCTTATGATGCAGCCCTGGATGTGCAGCTATAAGCCTTGCTCCTCCCACTACCCTGCTTCCTCCCCATCAGGCACTGAATTCCCAGCCCTCTTCTCCAGCTCAGTAAAAACAATAACGTCACTGGCACAACAGCAGACAGGAAGATGATACATGCAGCAGTAGCGACAAACAGCTAATCATCTGACTTCTTATTAAAATGTCAGAGCACAGGCATGTGACAAACCCCATATTCTGGATCTGTGTGCTAGAGAGAAGAACTGGAAATGGGTTTGGATAGTTTTCCTACCCTCGACTGACAGCACAAAGTGTTTCTCCATAGAGTGTCAAAACAATATACTCTTTCTTAACCTAGAGTGTCAGAACAACTGAGCAGGAAGTATATCACTGTCTGCAGTCAGAAGTTCCTTCTAAAAGGGATTCCTGAAGTGTTGCCAATCCTGTAGCCATAGAAGCAGGAGATAAAAATACTTGTGCTGGTTCTGGAGGCAGGGTTTCCAGTGCATGCTGTACCACACATTGCTCCAGGGGCACTGCTAGGAGCTCTGCAGTGCACTACGGTGAAGTGAACCAGCTTAGGTAGCTAACTGCCTAAAATTCTGTGCATTAAGGACAAAAGATATTAATCATTTGCCCTGTGTTTCTTGGAGGTGGTATCTACCTGGATGTCTTTTGGCAATCCTCTGGAGCTACTGTTCAGCCATGTATAACTCTGGACTCCCTTGGCTATTTCTTTCATTAGTATCTCCACCTGGGTACTAATTTGTGCCTCCACAGGCTGACCTTATTTTTAATTTAATCTTTAGCATGGATTCAGCGTATCAAAGCCTCTCTTGTCAGAAAGCTTTAGTTTTTAGTCTGAATTGTGATCAAACCATAGAGGGTGTACCTGAAGTTACTTCTGATCTTGCTGTTTGATGTCCATCCGTGGCAGAGCCCTTGCATGCTGCTTCTCCTGGTGCTTCTGCACCACTCGTGACTCGTCACCAGTTTCACTTGACACTGGATCTATAGCAGCCTCAGAGCCAGTACTAGCACATCGGCCCTGGTGTGAGGGCATAGGGTTAGTCACCCCCAGCAAACAATGGCTAATTGTGCAGATGTTTTCCTTTCCTCTAGAAAAGGACTCTCTATTGTATACACTGAACTGCCACCTCACTGCTCCCTTTTCTGCAGCATCTTATTTTTTACAAAGAAGCTGCTCATTCCTTCAAAACTGATTGCATGGCCCAGCCTCAGCTCAATTTGCATACAAATGATGTTACAAGGGGATTGAGGAACATACCACGTTGTTGGTAAAAAGCAGCAGTAAAGCACACAACCCCAGGTCTGAATAACACAAGTCTGAGATCCTTTTATTCCATCCAGTGGTTTGGAGTGGCCTGTTGGGGATGGGCATCATTGTTCTGTGAAAACAAAGGAGCAACACAAAAGTGGGGCTGGTGCGGTGTTTCTGAAGACTGTTTTTTCTCAAGTACCATATATTCTAGGGGAATCTATGGGTGGCATGGACAACTCGTTTGCAACACCTTTGTCAGTGTATTCGTGTTCCCCTCATGTGATTCCAGCCCAAATTGCAACATGTGCAGGCTAAACGTAGTGGGGGCTGGTTGCTTTCTCCTTTGAGATCACTAGTCCTATGCCTGCTCCGGTCCCACCCTTTTCCCAGTGTTTGGCCAAGGACTGAGGGAACAAGCAAGCCAAAGCTGAGCTGAGAGTCAGTGAACTGGTTATCATGGTTATCTTCAGTACTTTGTGCGTCATTTTCCCCATCTACAGATGGAATACTAAGGCTTGTCTGATGCGTAGGCAGTGTGACAACATGGGTAAAGTCTGAAAAGTGCATGAGGATCTTTGGATCTTAATTATTCATGCCAAAAAACCGAACTTGAGCATACCTTCTCTAGCACGTACAACTGAGAGTGAGACAAGCAAAGTAGGATGTGAGCAGACGGGAAAGGACAGAAGAGAAAGACAAAACTGGGTCTGGTCAAGAGGAAACCACTGAAATTAGCAGGTAAATGCACAGCTCTGGGTATGGCTGACCTGTAACTTTTCCCCTTGAAACTGAGAAAGGAGATAGCAGAGGTGATTTGATGCAGAGGAAGGGAAAACTAAGAATTTGAAAACTTCCCTTTCTATTGTACATCTTAGACAAAAAAAAACAAAACCCACCAACAAACAAACCCCAAACAGTGTTAATTATTTTTGCAAGTTGCTACAAAGTGTGCACTCCTGTTTCGTGAGGCAGGATTACTGCCCCGTGGAGCAGGGCTGCCATCTTGTGTTAAATGCCCACATACCTCGGGGCTGGAAGGCAGTAGGAAGTGGCAGAGGACTGTATGTTCCCCCTGGAAACAGTTGTGAAGGCTTCCAGGAGGTTTGTGGGCTTGATAATGCTTGACGCATGTTCAGCAAAACTAAATGTCTCTACTTATTTCAGGCTTTCACTGTGGAGTAAACAAGAGCCTTCCAGGAAATACTCTAGCTTGGTGATGTCAGGCTTGAAGTGGACTTCAGAGAGCAGCTGATGAAATAAATCACATTGGTAGATGTTCTACAAACAGCTGTTACTATTATTTCAAGTGTGCCATATAGAAGAATAGACATAACCTTAATGTCACATTCATTCCATGCCAGTTTTCCTCTCATTAATGGTACAGTTAGGTAATGACGAGGCAGAGGTTTGTCACCTAGGAAATCAAGACCCTCATTAAATTCCCACATCATCGAAGTTATTCTAACCATTCTTTGGCTTTATGCTATCCCCAAAGCTATCTTACCAACCTTCTCTAAAATTCTCTATGGTTGTAATTGAAAGAGCAGTTAGGTTCCAAAACCTACCTGGGGACCTGGTCCTTGTACTCTTTACCTTCAAAATAACCATATTTTCTGTATTTCACAGGCAAGAAGATCAGCATATGAAGGAAAGTGAGAATTCGGGTATTCTACTAGGAAGACCTATGCACATGCTTAAGAAAGATATATCCATGACCTGTGCATTCATATCAACATTAACATATACATGCAGTTCATTCATGGCTGCTTCTCGTGTGTTATTTGATATCTTTCTGTGTTAATGTTTTCAGTTGCTGAACATGGGGTAGAGACAATACTGATGTAATTCAAGAATCACCTTCTTATGAATACCTAGGGCAAGAAAACATTTTACAGATGGTCTGTACCTATGGTGATCCACAGAGTTTGATTAATATTTCTGAATTATTCAGCATATTTGTATTGCTAAGGAAAGACTCAAATTATTTCTATCTGGGAAATGACTTAAGTGTTTTAAATGGCCTTATTTAATTTGATCTGCTTTTGACAGCACCAGTAACAATAATTAATAAAAGATAAAATATGAATACAAGAAAAATGTGATCGAGCTTTATTTCAGGGGTAATGTCATTGCTCCTCCCCCCCCCCTTTTGATCTGTTAGTGCATACATCATCTTTTTAAATTAAAATATAAAAGCTTGTGACTACTATTTCATAATTGCTATATATCCTATTCAGAACTGGACTGTCTTCATTCTATATATCCTGTAGGGCATTTAAGGCCTATACTGCAGATATTACCAATGTATTCTGTCTTGTTTGCATGCAGACTGTGTTCCTACACAAATTCTTTTTTTTTTTTTTTTTTAAATGTACTATAAATGGCATTTTCCAGAAGTTTGGTGTTATTATTTGGTATCAAGACCTTCTCACATGTCTTTGTTTTTCCTGTTGTGAAAATCATTCTGTCATCCCCAGGAAACTTAGGCTGGAGGCAAGCAGAATGAGCTAACATCTGCAATCTCCCTGCAGGTCAGTAGCCTGTAAAGTGGGTCAGCACCTTGGTCCCACTCCCTGCTTATTTGTGCAGACTGTAGTTGTGATGTGTGTATGTAATAAATGGGCATAGAGAATGTCAATAGCTAATTATCTGAAGGAAGTGTCAAAAGAGGCCACCAAAATATGTTGGATCTGAAAATATATGGATTTTTATTCTTTTTCGCTTTCTCATTAGACTAAGAAAGCTAATCTGATATTCCTGACCCTGCTCAGAAAAATTAGTCTCTGCATGGAACTGTTCTGTATTATTTGCCATTCAGTAGAAACAGGCACTAGTGTCCTGGGAGGGCTGACTGGGCATCCTTGCCATCTGCAGATGCCTGCAGTTTCTCCTCTGGCACTGGATCCAGGTCTGGCACTTTCTGCCCTGCCTTGGCAACTGTGAATCTGCTCATGCGCAGAGCCTCTTCGTAGACTGGAGGAGTGTCTGATGCCGAGAGGGATGGTGTTCCCTGTGCAGCGTTATGGGAGTGTGCCACTGCTAATATCCTCCTGGCAGCAGGCCCAAACACAGAGTGGAGAGCTGAAAGGGAGAAGACAAAAGCTGTTTGCCTCATCCTGAAAGCACCACATGATTAGAGGAGGACAAATATATCTGCAGCACACTGGCTTTTCTCTCCCCACAACCTAAATGTTTGACTTTTCCTGCCCCTTCATTCTTCACTAAAAGAGGTGTATGTGAACACTCATCAGCAACATCCCACAGTCAGTCCTTCCTCAAATGCCACCAAGGCTCTTAGCTGCCCCATTTCCATCCAAACATGTCTCACAGCTGATTCACTATCTGGCTGCATTTGCTACATGAAGTCTGGTGAACACCTTAATTTGTGCTATGTACAGATGCTGCTTGCCCTGCATTCTGCCATGAATTCCCTCTGTCAGCCTTGGGATGCTGCAGTCAGTGCAGCCCCTCACTTCAGGGTATATGGAGGTCCCCAGCTTCTGTCAAAGCCAACTCACAGGTAATGGTGCTCTGGAGGGTGCTGTCATGATCAAAAGCAATGACGGTAACCTCATAGGGCTGAGGACCTGATTCCTCTCCTGTGTGATGGCAATGAAAACAGCATCTCACGCATATGGAAAGAAGGCCACACAGGAGCAGCAGCCCACCAATCACCACAACCAGCCTGGAAAGGGAGAGGACACAGGATTAGGACAGAAAGATTTTATTTGCAGGGAACCTCTTAATGTCTTTCCCTGCATAAAGCAAGGATAATTTCAATGCTAGGTAAAGTCTAGTAATCTGGGGCCTTGTCCAGCAGAGTTTGGACAGTCTCCAGGGAAGGAGATCCCATATCCCCTCCAGGAACCTGTTACAGTGCTTCACCATCCTGAGGGGAAGCATTTTTTCTTCTGTCTCATCAGAATTTCCCCATATGCAGCTTAGTCAGTCAGCTTAGGTCCTTCTGCAGGGGCATCTCTGACAAGGCTCTGGCTCTGTCTTCTCTCAAGATCCACTTTTGGTAGTGGAAAACTGCAATTAGGTTGCTCCCTTAGCCTCCTCCACACTGAACAAACCTGGTCCTTTCAGACCCTCCTCATACATCATATCCTCTGGACCTGTGACCATTTTATTTGCTCTCCAGTGGACTTGTTTCAGTTTGTCAACATGTCTGTTGTACTGGGGGACCAAAACTGGACTACACATTTCCTATGTGTCCTCAGGAGTGACAAGCAGAGAGGAAAAATCATCTCTCAATCTGCTGGCTATACTGATCAATGCAGCCTTGTAGATGTCCATCTTTTTTTTATCTTATCCTGATGAGAATTACTAAGGAATCAGACTAAAATTACTTTTAAAATGGGCCTTTTAAAGGGCACACTGTGCCACAGATTTTTTACTGGTATTGTTAATCGGAAAAAATATGTGGAATAAAAAAGGAGTCTGGCATGTCAAGATTTGTTCAAGACAATGCAATATGTAAGGGGTTGCTTTGCTACTGCAGACTGTTAGAGCGTCCCAAGGAAAAGTGGGAGATGGCATCACACTTGAGCAGGTCACATTTAATCCCACTGTTTGCTACTGGAATTGTCCACAGATGCAGATTTTTACAGTAAATATATGCCATCTTACCAGATATACCACAAGTGGTCCCACTCCGTACCTGAACAGCTGAGGAAGAGAGGGTACAAGAAATAGTTAGCCATAGAATACGAAATGTATGGGAGGATCTCTACCATACACTCTTCAGGTTCCTCCCATGCTCCTTACTTACCATCCACCTTCTAAAGGGCACAAGGACGAGAAACTTACTGTGCTTCATGGAGAATAGAGTTGACCAACCTCATCAATCTCCCTGATAGACTTTCCCTTCTATTTGGTTTTATCTCTTTGTTGTTCTCCTGATATTTGCGCCTGTTTACAAACCTTAGGGATCTGCATTCATATTTGCTTTTGTCAGAACGTAATTTCTGTTATTCTTACAAATGACATTCCCTAGAGTAATATTCACTAAAGCAGTGTATTTCAAACCATATTTTTCAAGGAATAGTCGATTCCAAATTCATAATTTCAGCCAATCAAAATGACACCAGAAAGCTCTTAACTATTACAGTTACACAAAAGGTAGCAGGAACAGTATAGCATAATCAGTATGCTTTCAATAAAATAGTAATTAATATACTTCACATTCAAAGAGGTGGAGATTTTATGTGCGTTTTCAGTAGTTGCAGTTAAATAAGCTGCAGCCATCACATTGTCAGCCATCACATCATAACAGTGATGTCTACTATTGCTTTTGTCTGTAGTTGTCTTCTTAAAAAAGTGTAAAATAGACAAGTACTCACAGTTCAGTGTTGAGACAGTTTTCCTCACCTCTGACTTGGGAGAACTAGAAGGGGAAAACCAAACAAGGCACAAATAGTGTGAATTAAGTTTGTCATATACAGCCTTGTTACCTGGATCGTTACCAGTCTGAATCTCCTACCGTAAGGACTTATTGTTATTTACCTTTCTTTGTATGCATCAGAAATTTTGCTGTAGTTTTGAAGTTACTGTGATACCAACTGCATTGTTTCATATCTTAACTTCCTGTAGTCATTAAAATCCTACTTAGGACTGTTCCCAGAACACACCCCAGCTTATGTTCACCCTCACCACAGGCTTCCCCCTCCCCTTACAGATGTAGATCCTTCTCCATGCTCAAATATTAAGAACCTTTAAATGTCCTGCTTCATATTATACCCATACTGACTTGAATTCTGCTTGGACCCTCCAGCACTCCTAGCCTTCTAATTTCTTTGGATATCCTGATCTCTGTGTTATCATCTCTGGAATAGCAGCAAATATTCTTCTTTACTGCATGTCTGCCTTTTATATGTCTAGTTCTTTCTAATATCAGGGAAATTATTGTGACTGTCAATTGCTAATGCTCCTCCATCTTTCTAAGGCAACTTCATAACTGAGCAGAGATCCTGTGAAAAGGAACCTGAGATGCGACTTACCCATAAGAAACACCCTAAACCAAAGCAGATCATGACTGGGCTATGCATCCCTGTAGAGCTGGTAGTTCAGTGGCCTCTTGATGTCTTAAGCTGTTGTCTTCTTGTCCTTTAGTTTCTGTTCTTCCTCACCAGTCCACTGACCAGAAGAAGGAGCAGATTTCTTATTGTGTGTTGAGTTCAGTTTCTTCTTCCTGTTCTATCTCTTCCTCTCCTCCTCTGGGTCTGTTCTTCTCTGCCCTTCAGGTTTTTGCTTTCTCTCTTTCCCTCTTTGTCCCTGGCAATTCGCGTTTGTTTCTGTTTGTCTCCTTTTGTTATTTTCTGGGCCTGCTTCTCTCCCTCTTTTGAAGAGATCTCTAAAGCCTTCCAGTCAGATCAGGAGAAAAGCGGTCGCTACAAGTTCTTACTTTAGATGTTGAACTAGTTCAGTGAAGGGCATCATGAGATCTCTGCAGACCTGACCCTTCCCTTCTGTGAGCAGAAAGGGTCTCTGAGTTTGTTCATTCCCAATTATTCATCTCCCCACCCATACCCTGAGGGTGGGTGGACTGAAGGTCATGTTACTGACCTGTTTAAATGAAGTTTAGATTCCTCTCCCTCCTCCAGTACTGTTTCTGTCCCTGCCCTCACAATGTCCCGCCTTTGTGGATCCAATCTATTGACTTTAGCCGTAGGGTCAACATACAGAGTGCATGTTACAAGCAAGGTGGTCCTGCTGAAGTGAAAGAATTTTCAATATAATAATTATAGACAGCATTTTATATGGAGAGTTATATGTATATATGTGTATATGAATGCAACAGATATGCACGTAACTGTCCTGGGCTCAGCTGTAGCATTTATTTTTCTCACATCTGTGCATATATATCATAGGTTGTATCATATATGTATGCATATGCACACACACACACATATATATATGCATATGCAGCACATCTTATATCTCCTATTTTAAGGCTCCTCCACCATCCCTCTCTTACCTGAACTTCCTGCATGGCCAGCCAAGGCCCAGTCAGTGTTGTGCATTACAGGGAATACATGTTGACCTGGACACTGTCTGTCTTGCAGCTGGTTATATTAGTAGGTTGCATTCAATGAACCATTAATTTTCTCTCTTGTAGAGCTGCTTTAGATTTCTGTTACTGCTCGTGGCTATTCAGAGTGTTATTTACATGCATATAATTGTGTTCACCTTCTCTTTCAAACAGCTGAAAGAGAAAGAAAATGTTCTGCAGTAATGGGTTACTATTTGTGTTCGGGAACCACCTGGGACTAGTACATTAATATATGTTAAGGGCAAGATAGAAGCTAGAGAAACTTGTTGCCCCGTGTTGCAGTCACAATGCATTCACATTAAACTGGTGAATCATTAGCCCTGGTGATGCATTTTAGAGTTGCAGAGCAGGACCAATGGACTCATAAACATAATGTACTCTTTCAAGGCAGGCTAAAAAAAGTTTACCGTTCTTTAATTATAAAAGCAGTGGTGCAGTATAAACATCCCTTAGCATGAGTTTTTCTGTCATCTATCTCTATCTATCTATCTATCTATCTATCTAATCTATCCATCCATCTGTCTGTCTGTCCGTCCGTCCATCCGTCCCACTCGATTACTAGAAGAATGTTTCTGAGACCTGGTGGACAAATAAGAAACATAGAAACATGAGGTATTTGCTTTATATTTATATGAGAATTGCCCAATACTGTTTTTGTCTCTCTCCTTCTTTGTCTTTCTCCTTAAATTATTTTGTGTATTAGAAGAGTTTTAGAAGAAAAGACCCAGCAGAACTGTAAAGTAGCCTTTTTTATATGTATAACTTTTAAAACTAGTAGGATTCAATATGGAAAGAAAGTGCAAATTTAAAGTGTTTTTTGGGGGCTTTTTAATGTCAGTGTAATAATTCAGTAGATTACCACTTGATTTTTACTTGAAATTCATAAGGATTTCAAATTCTAGACGGATTAAACTGGAGAAATACCAAAATTTCTCTAAAGAAAAATCATTCGTGTGGCATAAAACAGTGCCCCCTGCTGTTAAGTGCGTATCATAACTCGTTCTTGATGAATCTTGCTGATCACTCTTTCTATTTCTATGGCATTGCCGTTAATACTGTGCTTCCAGTAATCCACCTATGGCCTTGCTAGGCTATCATTCAAGAATGCTTTAAATTTCTTCACATAACCCTCGTATTTTGCCTCAATTATCTCTATCTTTATTTGCTTTATGCTTTATTGAAGTGACTTTTCTCTTTCATATTTTCCCCTTACCACCTTTCAAAAGGTTTAAAAAAGTGATCAGACTTTTAGAGAATTGCTTAAACAAAAATATATCATCACTGACTTTTTCTCTCTTCTTTGTTTTTGTTTAAAATCTTAGAGTCCATTCCATAGTCTGAATCTGTGAGTTGAACGGATCCTTCCTTGGATGCCAGAGAAAGCAGAAAATACTTGTGTCCTCTCTGCTTCCCTCTACTGGTTGCATCAAGGGATGCAGCTCAAGCCAGTTCTGATTTTCATTTCATAGGTAGAACGATCTTAACTGGGAGTAAAGCTTCCTAACGAGCTGAAAAACTGCTGTTATACTGCTCCTAGAAGTTGTTGAGAAATTACTGCTTGTTTCCTATTACTCTTCAAAGGAGTGTTCCACTAGAGCCAGCTTGATCAGTCATCCCCAATGCTTCCCCATCGACATTTAGAAATATAAAGTATGGAAACACATTTGGGGCCCAGAAGAGCCCTCGATACTTCTGCAGGTGTAGTGAGACACCTTACTTATTATCTATTACGTAAGACACATGATTATCAAAGCTTTCATGTATTTTACACTGGTTGATAATAGTCCAAAAGGGCTCTGTTTCTTGCAAAGCAAAACCAGATCCTTTTTTAATAAACTGTGCATAAAGAAGCAGAACACTTCCCTCCCACATTTCATGCAGTCATAACTTAACCACAGCTGGCAACTAAGCCCCACACAGCTGCTTACTCACTCCTGCCTGGTGGGATGGAGGAGGGAATCACAAGAGCAAAAGTGAGAAAACTCGTGGGTTGAGGTAATGACAGTTTAATAGGTAAAGCAAAAGCCACACACACAAGTAAAGCAAAACAAGGAATTCATTCACCACTTCCATCACTGGCAGATGTTCTTCAGGACAGTAGGGCTCCATTATGCATAACAGTTATTTGGGAAGACAAACAACATCACACTGAACAGCCCCCCCTTCTTTCTTCTACCCCCAGCTTTATATGCTGAGCATATCCCATATCATATGTTGATGCCGAATGGTATGAGATATCCCTGGGGTCAGCTGTCCCAGCTGTGTCCCCTCCCTACTTATTGATACCCCCAGCCTGCTCATTGGTGGATAGGGTGAAAAGCAGAAAAAGCTTTGACTCTGTGTAAACACTGCTCAGCAATGACTAAAACATCCCTCTGTTAACAACACTGTTTTCAGCACAATTCCAAAACATAGCCTCATATTAGCTGCTATGAAGAAAATTTAATCTATCCCAGCCCAAACCGACACACATGCTCTTTTCACACTGGACATATGTAGGACATAAGGGTTACCTCTCCTTGACAAAAAATGTGACAGAGGTTTCAAAATCTCTGTCTCCAATGAGCCGTATGCAGCTCATTGAAGGCAACATAAGGCAATCCTGAAAGTTAATATTTATTTGTCTATATTTGTCTGCCCAAATGTTAGAGTCTAAGACACTGCACGTGCTTTTTCCATGGTAAGGTAAGTCAGTGAATGTCTTCTGCCCTGTACCCAGGGAGCTCTATCTCCAGTAGCCTGGGCTTGGCAAAGCCCTGGTGAGATGTCGTGCTGGGGGGCTGTGTTCTGCGCTCGTGCTTGTTCCTGAGTTGACAGCTGGTGAGAGCAGCAGTTCTGGAGCTGTGTGAAGTAGAGCCATATGAAGTAAAAATTAAAATTCAGATCTCATTCCTGTCATTTTGCCATCAAACCTAGAAATACTAGGAAATGTAGGACCAGTTAAGTTTCTCCATCTTACTCCTAGTGCTCAAATTTCCAAAGAGCATGGTGCAGCTGCTAAAGCTGACAACCCTTCTTGGATGCAGCAGCAGCCCTAGAGGAAATGGTATGCTGCTGTGCTCTGTCAATCACTCTTGCTAAACGCAGGGATTATCATGTGCCTGTGCCTAGACTACTTCCAGCCCAGAGCAAGTCCAGGAGCACAGCATCATATTCTGGTACATGAATTTTCTACCCAGACTCCCCATTAGTTCAGGAGATATCTTCAGCTTATTACCTTTTACAGTGCAGTCATAGCTGGAACAGCAGATGGGAAACCCGGATTAATTTCTTTGTGTCCTAGGAACGGGCAATGACTGTGACAAGTCAGTGTGGTACCCCATTAAGATAAATGTGATATGTGTGGTTACAAACAATAAATAAAGGGTATCAGGATGTTGCTCACTTCATTTTGGCTCCAGTTCTCCTGTGCCACTTGAGAAATCAAGGAGCCCTTCTCACTGAATTTACTGAATATTTATCACTGTATAATAAACCCAGGAAACAAACACTCCTGCTGCTGAAAAACTTCAAGGAATTGTTTAGACTCAATCAAAAATTAATGTAATTTCCTTTTCACATCTCCCCTTCTTTTTTGGTTTGTGTTTTTTTCTAATTTATTTTTAGTTTTGGGGGTTTTTTTGTTGTTTTTTTTACAGAAAGGATGTACTCAAATTAGGGAACTCTAGGCTTCTGTTCCAGGAACTGAGAACTGTAAGATTTCCATGACCCATTGAAGTTTTGCACATGGAGAGGATATTTAAATACTATTCTGGGACTCTGCTGCATGTAAACAACCCCCAGTATCACTGCGTCATGAAATCCTTTAGCATGAGCAAAAAAAAAAATAATAATTCAACTTTTGCATGAATCACTCTGTTAGCTCTCAATGACACTGATGGTTTGCTTCATCCCAGCCAGATCAGATTATCCCTATTTCTCCTGTGGGACTAATTAAACTTTTGAACTGTCCTGTAACCTCGTCAGAAATGAGAAGTGAAGAAGTGACCTATGCAGACCTGAAATTCATGACACTGGAAAAATCTCAGGACCAGGAGCTCCAGACTGTCACAGCAAAAGGTAATGGTGGTGCTGAAGGGGGAGTTCTCTCTAAGGCAAATTCTTACCTTGGAGAACATTTCTGATGTGGTGCTCAAAGGAGGATGTCACCCACCAAGAAGAATCTGGCTCCTGGGAGCCCTTTGGATTCCAGTCTTTTAAGAAATTGGAGGGAGAAAAGAAAGAAAGCAGGAGATTAAAAGGAATAGAAGGGTGGAGAATGTGAAAAACTGTTTCAGTTTGAGAGGAGAGATATAAATAAGGTTGTGGGATACAGTAAGTAAAAATAGACGTGTTCCGTTTGGACATTAAGTGTCAGCTCCTGGAATTTAATGAAGTATCTGCCAAAGGGAATTTGCAAGTCTTTCAGCTTTACTCATTTAAATATGACAAACTGAAAGTAAATGCTAGGGAAAAAGATGTTTTCTCTTAAGGAAAGGAATAGATGGACAAAAACCTTTTTGTACTTTAAAATCATAAAAATTATGCTACATAGCTTCACAGAGGAAGGGAGGAATGTGACTGGTTGCAAATCTATATTCTTTATGCTTGCATTAGTGCTTTAGGATTGCTCAGTATGGAAGGTAGTGGCAAAGCAATGGGAATATTATGTTCTAGCCTGACTAAATGTCTGGTGATGGATTTGATAAATTTGACTTTATCTAGTAGATTAAAAAACTGTTTCTGAAGGAAATTTCCCCTTATTGACTAGCCCGTGATTATCTCATTCCCACTTTTTAAGGCATCCTTGAGTTTTATCCTTGGAAGCTGAACCTGAATGCCCAGTAATCTAGTAGGGTTCTTTGGTTAAAGGTTTAGGGAACACAGGGAATAAAATGCCAGAATACCACAGGTTGATATGCTGGTATTTCTGCTGGTGACTTCAACATAATATTAGTATTCCTACTGACATTTAAGACTGGGCTCTAGTAAAAGAACACAAAAGTCATAAATTGGAAACAGTCCTTTCCCCTGAGTTTTGGGACTGTGTAAATTCACACGGGCACTTGCATTTGCCCGTATTGCAAGAATGGGTGTATGCATTTCCAGGTGTGAGACCGTTTCTGTGAAGCTGTGACTTGTTCACATCTACGTACACTAGTTTCAGGTTATTTTACAAGGGCCTGGCTTTCATTGGTGACTATTTCTGAGGTTATTTTCTGAAACAGTGAATTCATTCCTTCTTGTCAGGTTAGGCACTCAAAAGTAAAAATACCCTGATATCTGGCTACATATGAAAATTTCAGCCATGTTGTGAGCACAAATACTTCCTTGATGCTCTTTCCCCACATCTGAAGTCCTGTGCTGTTCAGCTTTATTTGTCCAGTTCATTTTCTCTGGAAAGCTCCTGGCTAAGCTAGTCTCCATGACTTGCTCCCTTTCCAGCCCCCAACTGCTAAGGAGTTGGGGTACTGGCAATGGCCTAACAAGGGGACAGTTTTCATAATGTAATACCGCACACCAGTCTGAAACTCAGGAATTCACTGGGCTGACGACCATTCATGTTGTCTTGTGCATCGTAGGATCTGCAGATACAAAGATGAGAGGTTCCTGTTCTTGCTGCCTTCGCTTCTTTTTGTTTGCCTCAGATTCCCCCAGCCCATCTTCCTGTTGGCGACTGGCTACAGTGATGCTTGGGGTCTTCTGCCTAAGTTCAGTGGCAGCTGCAGGAGTCTTGGCTGCCAAGTGTAAGTATGGTCACAGGAGTGTTCAGAGTTCAGTATGAGAAACTAAAAGCCTAGGAAATTGGTTAAAGAAGAGGATTAGCTAGGAAATTAATGATGAAAAAAAACTGGCCCTTGCTGGGAGAGTTTACCCACTCAAGAGATCTCCCAGTCTTTGAGATTGGTATGTATTATGTCATGCCTATGGGTGTGCACAAACTGTAAGTAGGTCAGGTATATTCAGTTATGGGGAGGTACGTGTGTCTTTGGTAAATTTATTCAGGTTGCATTGGGCAGTTTATCTTTAATATTGATGGAACAATTTCCTTCTTGTTTTTCTGCGATTCAAGTCATCCTGGTCTCCCACCTTATGCATGAAAGGGATGAAAACTTCACCCTGCAAAAGGCAATTATGGAAAGCCTCAACCAGCAGCTAGAGCTCCTCCAGGCTCAGAATTTGAACTTGACAGAGACTGTAAAGCAACTTGCCACCCACAGAGGTACACAGTGATGGGAAGATGATCTTTGTATTGCTTATGGTAGACACAGATTGATTTCTTTTTCTTTTTCTGTCAACCATACTGGAAGGACAAATCAAAATCTCTAACATAACCCTGAATGGTTTAATTTAAAAACAAACTTCAAGCTGCATTTCCATTTTGATAATTTTTTAAGCATGAGTCTTTCTGAAGTATGTTTATGGAATTTTTATAATGGAGCTGGTTTATACCCTAAACCAAATACTTTAATTCAGAAAATTATGACACTTTATAAACAACAACAACAACAAATTTCTAAGCAAAAATAATTAATTGATGATTCATTGATGCTACTGCTCCTTCTTTCACAGTCGGTTTCAGGAAATCATAGTAAAAATGTTTTGATGGAAAATTCCTACTGGCTTTAATTGTTTGGAAAGCTTTACTTTCTCAAGACAGCTTCATTGTATTATGCAGTAATGGGTGCAGCACTGTAAGTACTGCTGCTCTCTACCAAATGTGATCGTAATCACCGGCTTTAACAGTTTACAGACTTTATGCAGAAGGTAATTTCTTCTTTTTTCTTGTGCAAAATAATGATGTGAAACTTTAATGATGTATTAGCTGAATATGCTGGATTATCATATTGCAGAGAGAAATTGATCATAATAAATTAGCATCTTGTGAGAGAGTGGCAAGGTTATTATCTGTGTAGATGTCTGCATTTCAATTTAACACAAACCATAAGGTACTTGTAAGAGTCAAGTGCACTGTTCTGTGTTACCTACTGCCATTCAGCATTAAGTCCTGAAATTCCCAGCTGGCACTGGTTCGTTACAGTATAAAATGGTCCTGTGAACTGGAGAGCCATGAATATGATTCATCCTATGGTTGGGACCCAGTTCCCAGAGGCCTTCAGAATATTTTGGCTGACAGGTTTTCTTGCTGCTTGCAATTATTTTGGTTTCCAGCTAGAAATGGAGTTCCCCAAATGGTGCAGGAGTGAAAGAAAAATCCATCATTTTGAGTTCCTTCTGGCTTCAGTACTACTCAGGGTTCCAACAGGCAGCTAACAAAATAATGTGGCAGAATAGAGTCAAAGTGCAGCTGTCTGAAAGGCATTTTCTTTAACAACAGTGGGTACATCTTTCACTTGCTGGCCATCCCTATCCAAGGTCTGCACACTGAATCCACAGCAAGCATGAAATGCTGTAAGGAAAGTTAAAGAATAAATTGAATTGTAAAGCACTTAACTGTTAAGGTCCTTCCCAACCCTAACCATTGTATGATTCTATGTTAACAAGAAGTTAAAAGTATGTTCACATGAACAGAGATGCACCTGTATGACTGAAAGTCTAGGGATTTTTTTTACATGAACCTAGATCCATGTCTGTGCACATGGCATAAGCTTCCAAAATTTCCTCTATTTGTATTTTACCAGCACCTCCAGGATTCCTGGTCATATTCAAAAAATCTTTTTTATTTGTTTGGGTTTTTTTTTTTTCTGATTTTCATTTAGAGATGTTTTTCTGGTCTTCTGGCAACTGGATTTATTAAGTCTCCAATGAAGATGTGAATTTGTCTGCAGAATGAAGGAGGAATTGTTGCTCCTCTGTGATAGGCTCTGCATTGCTCTAGTGATCCTGCAGGGATCCACTAGACCACTAGAGATTGCTGTCACTGACAAACCTGATCAGGTACTCTGTTGTTTTTAAGGACATAAATGTATTCATTGCCCTGAGAACTGGCTACAGTACGGGGAGAACTGCTACTTGTTTTCAGAGGAATGGAAAACCTGGCAAGAAAGCAAGGCAAAATGCTTGGCTCTGGAGTCCAGACTTCTTAAGATAGAGAGTAAGGAAAAGCTGGTAAAGATACATATTTTTTTTTCTCTCTAGCTATACAGTCTTCATTTTACTGTGGCCTAGGCAGCCATTCCATCCTTCCACTGGTGCAGTATGCTATGGCATGTATGTGCTGGACCAGGGGCAAAAACTGAGCATGCCCCTTTGGATTCCTCCTTCCTGTACTGTGGCTGCACCCTCCCTGGTGCCTCTCTACTGACTTCACGGAAGACCCAACTTGGGTCTGTGTCTAGACCCCGTCCCACCTCAGGGCAAATATAACTGAGCTAGTAGTACCGGTTGGCAACTCTTCTGTTTTCTTACTAGGGCAAGCTATTTAGCAAACATCAGGAGCCTGTCCACAACTAGAAAGCTCACCAGCTTGGCCAGCTCCCTGGTGTCTTCTCCCATATGAGCAGAAGAGGATCTGTATCTTTTTCTGACTGTCACATTGTAGATGAAGTAACAGAAAAAGCACAACCAGAAGAGCTCTTGAGTGCAAAGGAAGTTCTACCCAGACTCTTAGTGGCAACGGGCCTCTTCATCTGGGACTGCAGCAATAAGACGAGGGGTTGTGGGTTCAAAGTTAAACAGGGAAAATTCAGGTTAGATATAAGGAAGAAGTTCTTTACTGTGAGGTGGTGAGGCACTGGCACAGGTTGCCCAAAGAAGTGGTGAATGCTCAATCTCTGGCAGTGTTCAAGGCCAGGCTGGACACAGCCTTGGGCGACATGGTCTAATGTGAGGCATCTGGATTGGAACTGTATGGTCTTAAGGTCCTTTTCCAACCCAAACCATTCTATGATTCTATGATCATGTCTTGAACTCTATGGTTTTATTGTCTGTATTTTGAATTTCTTGTGTAAAATGATACCAAATGATTCAAAGGCCTTTTCCTGCCTGGCTTATGCAACCAGAGTGTTGAAAGGAAGTTGTTATCCAGCTTATGTTCTAGCTTTGGTTATCTCATCTGAACTGTGGTTTTAGCTGAGAACTATGAAAGCTTTCAGGAGGTTCATTTTCCCTATGTCCAAAACAGCACTGATGACCAGAAGTAGAAGTCAGGGTCCAGATTCACTTGGGAAACAGGTGTGAGCAACTCACTTTCATTTGCTTCTCGGCTTTTCCAAATCATATGCTGTTGTGACTGAAGCAGGGATGTGTTTCACAGGCTCTGAATTTCCCCACAGGACTTCATAATGCGATCAGCACTGTCTCACAGTTCTTCCATTTTTTGGATTGGGCTGTCTCGCAACAGAGCAGAGGGGACCTGGCTGTGGGAGGATGGATCAGCTTTCTCCTCTGATTTGTAAGTCCTTACACAGATGGGAGCAGACCATGTCCACGCATATTTGTTCTGAGTCAGAAGCAACAACCTTTAACTTCCACTCAGTAATGGCCTGTTGCCCTGCCTGCTTGTCAGCAGACAGGTTTCCCATCATCATTCACTCATCAACCTAGGCAAGCCCCCAGCAGAGAACTTATGGGTCAAACGGGTAGCAGCAGTCAGGAATTATTGTATCAGACTGTGACTTTTTCCATGGGCTGATGAATATCTCTGCTATTTTTTTTTTCACAGGTTTCAGATCCAACGAGCCAGCTCAAGTCCTTCTCTAGATTGTGTGTGGCTTCAAGGTGCAAACATAGACACTGCACAGTGTGGTGAATACAAATTTTACATCTGTGAGAAAGTGATGGATCCTGTGATGGTCGAGCAAGTGAGCTACTCAGACAGGCACTAGGGTGCAGAGCTCTGTAGAGAGCCCCGTCCTGGGACATACAACAGTGGGGATGAGTTCTGGCCCAGAATTTGCAAGAGGCAAAACATTATCCTGAGTCTTAGTTCAGTCAGAGTCCTAGGGCTTTAATTAAAAACAACTTAATTTCCTCTTTCTTCTTTCAGCCCTTGCATTCCTATGCAAACACTTCTCATAAATTCTTTTGTAAATGAAACAAAATTAAGTATGTGATTCTGGAACTCTATTGTAAAGATTCATACCTATCTCCCCGAAACAGGAATCAATGACAGCTTATAAGAGCATGTTTTCAAAATTTATCCATTAGGTATTCATAGATGTGAGCTCCCAACTTGCAATAGTTCTCCAAATATTTTATTTAATTTCACTCTCCACCTGCTGATAACTGAAAGTTCAATCAAATCAGAGCCTCCCTTAAAAGACAAAAATATTTCTAGTCCTCCTGGTTAGAGAAAAAAAACTTTGAAATGTAATTGCATTCCTTATGGGCTCAAAAAAACAGAGGGCAAATACACAACACATCTTCATTGAGGAAAGTCAGCAATTTTTAATGCCTAGGAATGCCAGTCCAGCTACTACTGTATTGTTGCAGCTGCATTCCTCTAAGACATTGGCCTTGAAAATAATCCATATCACACATGATGCGGTTCTTTGATTTCTCAAATCCTTTTTCCATTCTGCTGCAGAATTTCACAACTGGAATAAATATTGCTGCTATTGACCTTTTCTGTAGTGTATCTTTTTAGTAAGCCACTGCACAAAGCGTCTCAACAACTGTCAAATAAAGGGCCTTTAATGATGCAAAGCCTCCTGCCACTTTGCTGCTCTTTAAGAGGCTGTTCAAAGAGAAGACTGCTTCAGAGAGAGCATCTTTCTTCCATGTCACTAGCAAACAAGAGAGTTCTTTGAAACGTCTCAGGAGCAGTCAGGTTTATGGTTAGAACTTGTGTTCCTGTGTGTATTTTGTACTAATTTGAGACATTCAACAAAAATGAAACTGTTGGAAAGTGAAGATATTTAGGCAAGTCTCTAATTATGTTTATTTCAGACATAAAGCTGTGCACTGGAAGTGTGCAGTAGTAACAGCCAACAAGTGTGCTGTCTCCTTTACTAAATGAGTGCTTAGCAATCATAGAACCCTAGAATGGTTTGGGTTGGAAAGGATCTTAATGTTATCTAGTTCCAACCCCCCTGCTATGGGCAGGTACACCTCCCACTAGACCAAGGCTCTGTCCAGCCTGGCCTGGAACACTGCAAAAGATGGGGCATTTACCTCTTCTTTGGGCATTATTTTAATTATGTATATGACAAAGTAATTTAGATAAGTAGGGACAGCAGAGTGTCTTGCCACACAGCTATCTCTTAGTCTGGAAATGCTGCATTTTCTAAGTCTAAGCACAGGGCCTAAGCAGCCATGGAAATACTACCTGGGATCTCAGCACTGACTGGTCTACAGGGGATGCAGGTAAAACATGAATAGTGGGAAGGATAACGCATATAGGGCTAACCATTACATTCTGCACAGCTACCTATGAAGTCTGGTCCTTCAAAATTACCACAACTTCAATGTCAATTTGTCTTGAAAGCAAAATCATCTCTGCTGTCATTTGGCTGCAGAAAGCATTTAAAACTGACAAAGTTCAAAAGGCAGCATACAATAGCTCAGTTGAATGAACTGGCTCATTTTGAGTTATACAATAGTCATAGGCAAATCTTTGGATTTTGTTGCACACTGAAAAAGGCAAAGAGTAAACGGGGTTTTTTGCTAGCTACTGCTAGATTAGCAATTAGTTCTCTGTTGTTGCTCTAAGGTCTTAGCACAGGCAGTTCTGCATTCTTGAGGTTATGTTTTTCACTGTGATAAAAAAATCGAAAGTATATAATTAGCCTTTTGAATTCAGTGCAAAGTCTGCTAAAATCAGAATATAAGCCTTGTACCTATGGCATGATGTTACAAAAGAAGTGATCATCTCACAGGCCCCTCTCAGTGCTTCTTGGCAAATAATTTCTTTACTGTTTCCAACATGATTATTTGTCTCAGTAGATCTACCAAACACGTAGTGCCTATGTGTTTTAAAGACAAATAGATCTACTCACTTAGTTTTCTTCTACTGCTTTCATTTGCTTCGTACTGATGTATAGCTGCAGAAGTAGCTCCTTTCTTGACAAAGCTCAGAGATGCAACCTTGAACAGAGTGTCACATCTTTGCTTTTTAATGAGTTTTCTTCTCTGCATTGTCTTGCTCTTTACCCTGGTGGCAGACAGTCAATAAACCATCTGCATCATAAAATTTTAAATCCAAGTGGGGAAAAATGTTCTTGCAGCAGGATCCATATACTCATAATTAACAAAGAAAATATATACATCTCTTATTTCATGTGGAAAAAGAAGGTGCTGTCTTTAACAGCAGGCCTTACAAAATATACTGTCATTTTCAAGTTGCACAGCTACATGATAGATAGATAAAAAATAGTGCTAAATCACCTCTGCTAAAGACTGCTGAGAGAACAAGGAAGCAAGGAGAGAAACACAATGATTTATTGAATATACAACAGTAAATACAGCTGCCTATTTGGTGTTTTGAGTGAAATATTTAAGTTTTCTGAGGTTTTCAGTTTTGTTTAAAATATGTATTCATGTCCTGGACCTAAAATCAAAGTAAAAGGCATGGAAGATGGTCAAGAGATATTTTTTTCTGTGCACTTGGAATGCTTCAGAGTCAGGATTTTGGGAAACTGCATTTAAACTTATGCATTTAAATGTGTTTAGCCTAATCTTTTGTCCTCTCTCTAATCTTTGATTCTCTTTCCACCACCATCTCATCTCAAACCTTCTTGGTTAAAAGAACTAGTTTTAATGCTAAAAGAAGAAGTAAAAAGGGAAATATTACTCATCTTCCAGTTCTCTGGTTAGAATCATGTGGGGACTGTTTTTTTTTAAATTTTGCTAAATTTTCTCATCCTGTAAATTCAGCATAAAGAACTTTATGGTTTTACGCTAGAAAGCTAAAAGGCAGAGCTTGTCTAAATGCTTCCAGAGAAGCCTATTTCTGTTTCAGAAATTTGGAGTCAGTGATTTGCACACATATGACTTCTATCCTGAAAACTTACCTACCCTCCCTGCTCGTCACCACTCTGGAGGCCCATCAGGAAACTGAACAGGAGGAAGTGCTCATTCCTGCAGAAGAGTTGCCCTTTTGTTCTGTTTTGAAAGCAAAATATTCATTTGTAAAATATTTTTTTGGCAAAGACCTCATAAGTCTGATTAAGCCATCAGCAGGAAACCCCGTGTTCCCTCAGTATTCAGTGTTTCCTGTATTTCATTCTTTCTCAACCTTTAGATTTATTGGACTTCTTTCAGAAGAACTCAGCTAGTAACAGCAGCACCTGAAACAAACAGATTCAAGTGACATATGGAATTGGAGCACTCAGTTGGAACACAAATGTACACGATGCCTTTGTGTGTAAAGCGTTTACTGGAGACGGACAGTCAAATGACCATGCTGAAGTCATATTTGCTGCTATTTTTAGTGTTGGATTAAGCTGAAGGTTTTCCATAGCACAGATTGTGGTGCATGTATTTGGTAAGAATTGTGTAGCTGGAAAGCAGTATTTTGTAGGGGAAAGCAAATAAATAATATCAGCTTGACCATGTTATGAGTGCAAAAATCTTATGCACTTAGAAAACTTGCATCTTCAAGCATAAGGTTGCAACCCAAAGGAAAGGAGCAGTTTATTCTGCTGTATAAGTAAGACCGTGTCACAAATATCACATATTCATAGACCAAGAAGTGTCATTGCTGAATGTGGTGGTTCCAGTGTGTCCCTATGCTAAATGCATATAGAAATATGCATCAAATCTCTAGTGGATGTAATGTATTAAGTGTGACAAAGTACGCCAAAATACCTTTTCTAATTTGTCCACCCAATTCAGTTTTCCAACATGAAGTAAACATCTAAAAGTCACTTTCAAACTTGGAACAATAATAATGAGATTTTTGTAATTAGTGTTCCTACTAAAAAATAGCAAGCACTATAAACTAAATTGAGCACCTCATTTCAACGTAGCCACATCAGTATCACACAGAGATTTTATTCACTAGGATCTAAAATTTGAGCTCCTAGAAAAAACATAGACTCACCAGATGATTGAGGTTGGAAGGGACCTCAGATCAGAGGGCTGGAACACCTCTTGTAAGTGGAAATGCTGAGAGAGCTGGGCTTGTTCAGCCTGGAGAACAGAAGCCTCTGGGGAGACCTTATTGTGGCCTTTCAAGATATAAAGGGAACTTAAACAAAAGACAGAGGGAGACTTTTTACCTGTACTGACAGGTCATGAGGCAACGATTTTAAAGAGGGTAGATTTGCATTGATGTAAGGAATAAATACTTTACAATGAGGGTGGTGAGACACTGGCAGAAATTGCCCAGAGAAGCTGTGGGTGCCCCATCCTTGCAAGTGTTCAAGGCCAGGTTGGATGGGGCTTTGAGCAACCTAAGCTAGTGGAAGGTGTCCCTGCACATGGCAGCAGGGATAGGACTAGATGGTCTTTAACGTCTCTTCCAACTAAAATATTGTGTGATTCTATAACCTCTGGAGGTCATCTGCTCCAACCCTCCTGCTCAAGCAGAGCTACCTAGAACCGGTTGTCCAGGACTATGTCCAGACAGCTTTTGAATATCTCTATGGACAAGGACTACACAACCTCTCTAAGCAACCAGTGCCAGTGTTTGGTGCCACTCACAATAAGTGTTTCCTGATGTTCAGAGAGACCCTCCTGTGTTGCAGTTTGTGCCCATTGCCTCTGGTCCTGTCATTGGGCACCACTGGAAAGAGCCTCACTCTGCTTTGTACCCTCCCTTCAGGTGTTCATATGCGTTAATAAATTTTCCTCCAAACCTTTTCTTCTCCAGGCTAAACCATCACAGCTCTCTCAGCCTTCCCTCATAGGGGGGCTGCTTCAGTCCCTTTGTCATCTTCATGGCCCTTCACTGGACTCTCTCCAGTAGGTCCATGTC